TTTTTTTTCAATAGAATTCCAACTTAATTTCCGTACAAAATAATTCCTGTAATTCCAAATTATTTGCTATAGTTTCAAGAAATTCAACGAATTATGAAAAAACATCGTAAAAATTTCAGAATTTCACAAATAGTTTCAGTAATTCCAAAAAAATTCCAATAATCCATCGTAATTTTATTGGTTTCAGTATAATTTCAAATTAATTCAAACGTATTTTCCGTAATTCCGTAAAGAAAAAGAAAAGACATTATTACACCAGTAACTCCGAAATAATTCCAATAATTCCAAGCAATTTTGCTTAAATTCTGCTCTGGGTGCGAGTTCTGAAACACCCCTGTATAATATTCAAAAAAAAAAAGTTACTAAAACGTGACAATTATAACGAATAATTGGCAGCATTGCTAAATGACACTWAAAACACTAGAATTCTAGATTATTGTCACTTCTGCCAACACTACGGCAAATTGTTACCAAAATAGGGTTTGATATTTTTGTTTTGAGTAAATAAAAAATAAACATTAAAGAATTTGAAAAATTGCACTTTTTTATTTACAGTGTTCCAGTGACACTTTCCCCGCCTTTTTTTACCAACTTTTAATTGCAATTTTGGTTACCTAACACAAAAATAGTTGAAACACCCTGTAATTGCCCATTTTTTTTCCTTGCACGTGCCCTTTGGGCCTTATCCCCCCCGAAAACATCAATACCAGAATGCGCAAGTCCTAGAATAATGCCTCCGACCTCCGACACTTTCCTTCTTATTATTTATCCCTTAAAAGGACGATAATTGATGAAAAATCGCTTCAAGAGTGTCCTTTGTAAAGGATAAAAATTCGATTCGTTCGGTCGCTGATAAATGTCAAGTAGTAAATGTGAACTTACCACTGACAATGTCAACATCATCGCAGAAGAGGGATGATGTCGTTTTACACGACCTTGGCCACGATAAACCCACAAACGTGCTTTCAGCAACACCGACTGTGCCCGAATGCAGGTCGCTAGGAGACGTGCGCTCCGTCAGAATCCTTTCGTGACGTCATCAGGATAACATTTTAAAGGGGTGTGGTGAGGGGTGGAACCACTATAGATCATTGTTTCAGGAGCGATTAATAAACAAAAGAAAAATCTGAGGGTTTTTTTTTTGGTGGCAGTTCCGGTTTCTGATTTATTTTTACAAAAATTTTAATTGAAAATTAATTAATTGATTTCAAAAAAAACTGTTTTATTTTTCGTATGTTGAGATACTATAGTCACGTGACTTATGGCAAGCAATTTTTTTTTAATTCCTCTTTTTTTGGACAACTTTTGCTTGATTTTAATAACTTACATTATATGAAGGTACAGTAAAGTATTTTAATTGAATAAGCACTAAAACACAAACATTATTAAATTTAGATTATACAGGGTGTTAAAAAAAGATTGTAAAACATTTCAAGTATGGAACAAAACAAACAAAAAACTCTTAAATGTTTATTTTGGTCCATACTAATTCCTACTGAAATATTTTACAATCTTTTTTCAACCGCCTGTAGACAGTATTAATGGCTTAAATCTAGATATCTTCTTTTATAAATTTTACTCTAAAACTCATCTATTTCTTTTGTTTATAGACTTTATATTATTATATTAGTTATTATTATATGATTATTCTTCTTGTCATTAATATTATTTACACAAAAGAAAAATAAAAAAATTGAAAAAAAATCGCTTCTCTTTAGAACTTTAGTGAATCGATTTCAAGAAAATATTTTGAATTTCATAAAAGTTCAATACCTTGAGTAGTTTCGTTAGCGCTTAAAAAAATTATGAACCAAAAATATAACTACAAAAAAAATGATTTATTTCAAAAACAAAAACAGAATTATAAACGTGTTTCAGTAAAAAAATTACGAGTCATCACATTTTAGGATTTGTTTACTTTAGAACTTATTGGAGGAAAGGACTTAATTTAATGTTCTCGCCTTTCTAAGTTGAAGTTCAAATTTCAAAAATTTTATTTAACCAAGGACAGTTGAGTTCTTATGAAACAAAGTTTTTTCTTCAATTATCTAATAAAGATTTTTATATTTCTCAGCATCAATTCATATTTTATCTTGAAATTTTGAAAAAAATAAAAATCCTACAATAAAATTTTTAAATTTTCAGCAAGATTTTGATGTAAATAATACATAAATTAAAAAGGCCACGTGTTATGTTTTTTATTTCCAAATTATGATAACAGTTTTATTAGATGTTTTTGAGTCTCTTACAAATTTTATTTTACATTACAATAATTTGCAAAATTAAAATTTTATAATGTTCAAAAACATATTAACATAAATAAAAAATCTAGGGAAACAAACTTATAACATCTTGAAAAACCACTGTTAAAATGTTGAGTAAAAACTGCATAACTTATCTCTAAAAAATTAGTGTACGAATAAAATTCAGATAATCATTTGATTATTTGGAAAACTCAAAATCTCCTAAAATTTGATTTTACAAATAAACTAAAATGCTGAGATAATTAAAAACAAAATTGGGACGATTTGTGCTTTTTATAATGAAAAGAAAAATTATTAATTACAAAAATCTTAATTTAAATATACTACTCCAAATAATTAAAGGAACAAAAAAATTTCCCAATTTTTTTGATGATTTTTTCATCGAAAAATGGTCGTATCTAGATTTTTAAAAATTATTTTACAATCTTTTGTTTAACACCCTGTATAACAGTATTACTAGCTTAGATATAGATATCTTCTTTTATAAATTTTACTCTAATCAGAAAAAGTCAAACAAAATTGAAAAAAAAAATTCGTTATGAAAGAAAGCAATTTTTTCAATTGTTATTTAATAAGAATTTTTATATTTTTCGGCATCAATTCATATTTTATTTCGAAATTTACAAAAGAGTAAAAATTATACAGGGTGTACCGTCTAAACCCCACATTAAAAGTATTGGGAGTTCAAATAATCATATTTATTTGAAAATTGGTACATAGCCATAATCCATTAAGTCCTCCTAAATGAAAATATTTTCAAGATGGCGGCACTTCCGGCTACACCGGAAGTAGGTTTCAACTTTCTTATTTTAAATGGAAAGCTATATTTTTTACTGCGTTTTTGGATTAATCGGGTTATTCTAAGGGAGTTTTCATCAGCTTTCCCCAAATTTAGCTGTTTTTGAAATATTTGGAGTTTTTCAAAATTTTTTGGATCTGCACCTTCCACTTTAAAAATCGGTAACTCTGTTATTTTTTAAAATTTTGAATTTGTTTTTTGGCATTTAAAAGAGAAAGCTTACATCTTTCTTCTGGTGTTTTTAAATTTTGAAAAAAAAATTAACAACCCTAAAATTTTAAGTTTACTTTTGTAATAATTCAAACACTCATAATTTTTATTTTACTAAAGAAGAGAATTTAATTCTCCATTTATTAAAGAACCAAAAATATTAAATAGAAAAATTTAAATACATTGAAATAGCGGCGCAGTAGTCAATTTACTTGACACCACACGACCTAATTTGTACTGTCCACACAATTTAATAGTTTGATTCAATAAATTCATGTCACGTATAATCCCAAATACCAAATTCCACAAAAGCAGATGAAACATAAATAATTCGAAATACTCTCACGTAAACCCAGCATTGGAACAAAATAAAACTCACAAAATTTGCAATGATTCGAAAATAAACAAAACAAGAAAGACCCCAAATACCATTCAAACTGGAACATAAACAACTTCAAAGAGAGCAAACCACACGAAAAATTCGCGCATTCAACCATCAAATTGAGGTCGTTTTTGACTCATAAACCGTAAAAATAGCAATTAGAAATGTCAATTTGGCACAAAAGTCACAATTTCAGTAATGCCAACTTAATTTCAAACTCACAGCCTACCTTGATTATCAAATAAACAAACATGTGTCAAGCAAACAGCCCGTTATTTAGCCGCCTTGGGGGCGAATATTGGGGCGATTGTCGAGCTGAGGGGCCAGATGGGCCCCCCTAGCCGAAAACTAGGGTTAAAACAACGCAAAATGGTACTCACCCGTTCCAATTTTTGAAAATGTTCCCGTAAAAATGCGATGGGATTGGCTGGACGGTTTACACATAATTGAACAATACAATCTTTAAGAATTTGTTGGATATTGTGAGTTTGAACATAAGCTTCACATTCACGCAGTGATTGTTCTTCGTCAACATTCGCTGCCATTTTTTCACACACTTGAATTAATTTACGGACAAAACGGACTTAATAGTCTTACAATTGCACTTCACGGAGCTTTTTAAAACGGTGGTAATATTAATAAAAAGAACAGAACGTGAGATGACAGTTGCTGCTATTTTTATTTTGGTTTCTTTTCTAGAGATGGACGTGGTGGGCAAAACAGGAAACTGTCAACAATGGCGGCAATCCCCACTAAATTGTGAGATTTATTATTAAAGTTTTATAACAAAAACGCGCCAATAGTATTTCTTTTTGCATCATTTATGAATAATTAAAAAAACTTAAATTTCTAATGCAATTTTACGCAAATAATTTAACAACGTTGTAGGTAAAAGAGAAAACTTTCAGAAGTTGAGCTGACTGTTACTAGATGACACCACTGAAGTGTGACATAACCTCAAATTTTTACAACAAAAACGCGCCAATAGTGATTTTTTTAGATTCTTTAAAATAATGAAAAAAGCGAAAGTTTTTAATGTAATTGTGGCATTTAATCTAATAACGTCTTACTAGCATTTTTTAGGGCCTTAAACACAACTCGAAAATTTCGGATTTTTTCGCAAAATGCCCAAAAGGCTCAACGACTGAAAATTGTGTAAAGACTGAACCCCGGTCACCTGAAGTGTCGCCAAGTTGCAAACGAAGGAAAATCACCGAAAACAGCAACCCCTTTGGTATTATTAAAATTTTTAAATTTCCCCTAAAAAAATGCTTAAAAATCACCATTTTTAGGCGTAAATGTGATTAAAACCGAGCCCTTGTCTCAAATTTGTGACTGTGGGGGTAATTTCAAAGTTGCCACACCTGAAAAATGCTTCAAACCGTCCAATTCCATGAAAACACCAACTCCGAAGAAAAATGGGGGCTTGTCCGGGTCAAAGAGGAGAACCACACCGAAAAAACTGTTTGAAAAGTCGCCGAGGAAGTTGGAGGAGTTTAATGTACAAATTTTGGAGGATTTTGTCAAAGTGTCTCCGAGCACCTCAAACAAAAAAATCATAATAAGAGATACTCCAACCAAAAAGCACTCGCCCAGTACATCTCGGTATTTCTCCGTTTTTTTGCTACTTTTTATCAGTTAAAAAATATCACTAGGTTTTCCCCCGCTCAAAAACGCAACGAGAACACCCCTCGCAAGTCGGGGGTCCCCCAAACTCGACTAAATTTCACCGATGATTCAATGGAAGACTTCGGTGAGTTTTTTGACGATTTAATGGCCCAGAATTTGGATTTAGGGGAACCCCAACACTGCAAAATCGTCCAAGTGACACTCCAGGGTGCCAAAATCGTCCTAAGTTTAAAATCGAATCAAAAAACTGGATTTTGTCACGTTGAGGAATTTTGGTAAGAAAATTGTAATAACTTTTTACGTTAGTCATATGTCAAAAGTAAAATCTTTTTTTTTTTTCCAAACATCAATTTTATTTGTCGGAATCAGTCAAAAAAATATGACAGCAAGATCATTAAATGTAAAACGGGCCTTAGTTATTGTCCCCGATGTTCGTGTCATTTTGACGTTTTGGAGGTTTGAAAATGTCAAATTTGACTTCAAAGCCTGCTTTAAATTAGAGTTCATTTTCAGGTGATGTCAAAAATTTCCTTTTTTGTGATGATTTAAGAATTTGAAACGAGTTTCTCTCTTAACTTTTAACTTTTTTATTATCTCTAAGAATTTTTTTTCCTTGCACACTGTTGAGATTTTTTACTAATAAATCAGTGTTATCAATTTTTTTTTTGTCACCATGATTTAGAATGATCGATTTTATTACAAAATACTTTTTAAGTCAGTCATATGTCAAAAATAATGTCATTTTGACAAGATATTGACAGCATTACATTTTTTTTTGGAAAATTTTGTTTTTTTTCTTTTCTTGATCTTGAAATTTGAGACTGTTTCAGAGTTTTTTAATTAAAATCTGAAAACATTTGAGAAAATAACAGAAAAATATTTTAGATTTCTAA